CCCACTTTCCCACGCAAAATCTCGTGCGTTCTGCGGGAAATCTCGGCTTCTAGATGCGGGCGCCAGGACCTGGCGGAGCCAGTTCCGGGGCGGCCCCGAACTCCTATTCCCAGAATGCCCCGGTTTATTTGCATCGTTCTGTCCCGAATGACGTCAAGTGAGTGAGGCCACGCCATGGCCAATGAGCGGCCGCAGAGTGTTAGGACCTGGCCATATAAGGTAAACAAAGCTGGCCGCCCAATGGGGCTGCAGCGGGGGCGGGCGCTGGGTCGGGGACGGCGGGGGCGCGTCACGTGGCGGGCGGGGGTGGGACTGGGGAGCACGGGAAAGGGGGAGTTGCGGGTTGTGTTTACAGCTCCGCACGCGCCGCTTCCGGGTGACGTCGCGGGTTGGGCGTGCGGGGCCAGGACGGGCTCGGAACGGGATCCCGGCCGGGGAGGCGGGGAGAGGTCTGGCTCGGTCACCCCGGCTCTGAGTGACCTTGGCCGGGTTCCTCGCGCTCCCTGGGCTCCAGTTTCATCCGTTGGGCAACCGTTCTTTGGGCCCTTTCTCTTGCCCTGCCCTGACCCGGCCCGGGTTACTGCGGAGAGCACATCTGAGAAGCGTTGTCTGGGGCGGGAAAGGAGGGGGGGGCGGTTTGGGATCGTGTGTCAATCCCTAGGACAGGGGCGCCTGGGTGGCTCAGTGGGTTGGGCTTCTGCCTTCGGCTCAGGTCATGATCTCAGGGTCCTGGGATCGAGCCCCGCATCGGGCTGTCTGCTCAGCGAGGAGCCTGCTTCCCCCTCTCTCTGCCTGTCTCTGCTTACTTGTGATCTCTCTCTCTGTCAAATAAATAAATATTTAAAAAAAAAATCCCTAGGACAGATGTAGACTTGGGGAAATGTAGAAGTATGGAAAGTGCTCTCCAGAAAGTGACACAGGCCCTAGGGACTTGGGCTAAAGGTCATTGGGAGGTTTTCCTATATTTCATCTGTTGTTGGCTTTAGGCTTAGTGTGAGGTCCTAATGGTGGCAGAGGGGCCCAGTCCAGATCAGGAGATGTTTTGGATGTGTCTGTTTCTAGTGGAGTGCCCCCCCCCTTCAGCGCCCCTCACTAGAGGAAATGCACTGGATGGAGGGAACTATGCCACACTGGAGGGGTGGGGAGAAGCCCCACCCCGGTCCTTTAACCCTTCCAGAGGTTCTGGCTTTGGTGAGTGGGAGGAGGATAATGGGAGACTGGCTGGCAGGGCCTGAAGGATCCCAGGATTGTGGGGGCTGGGGCATGTCTCTTCTCCCACACAGGATCACTCAGGCTCCACCATTTTTTGCAAACCCAGATAATGCCAGGAGATTTCTGGTCTTGTTAAGCATGGACCCGCTCCTTAACAAAGCATCATGAACTTGAATTAATGTGGGTAAAGCGCCCAGCACGAGGAAGGTGGCTCTGAAAGTGGTTATTGCTGTCCCTGTTACACAGGGACAGCATCAGGGCATGCTGGAAGGGAAGTGGGTTCTGGAGCCAGACCTGGGTATGAGTCAACTCTGCTGCTTACTGACTGATGTTGGATAAGCTACTGCAGCCCTGAGCTTTGTTTCATTTGTAGAACTTGAGCTAGGAGTGTGGAGCAATCCCAGGACTGCCGAGGGGATTAATTCTCGTGCAGTGCTTAGCAGGGCCTGGCACTCAGTGTACCTACCATTTTTAGTATGCACCTCTTTGCTTGCATCCAGACCACTCTAGGGAGCCCAAGCCCCATTTGACTGATGAAGAAACAGGCTGGAATCCACACCCCATTATGCTCTTGCCAGTCATTGGAGACCAGGTACCCAGTAGACTATGAGGGTGTATTTCTGGCCAGTGAGAGGGGGCACTGCCCTGGCAGGGCCTACTAGGGGATTTTTCTGGCTCAAGGAAACAGGAAGTACCTTCCCCCTTCCCCCTAACCTTAGCCAGCAACACTCAGTTACCTGTCCCGGCTTGTTCAGCTCCAGAGGAGCACTTCCAAGCCAGTAGGCTGACTGGGGTGGGGCAGGTAAGGCTGGTAGGAGCAAAGGTTACTCTTCTGGCCCCCATGGCACCCCTAGCCTGCTTGTTCTCCTAGAGGCAGCAGGAAAGGAAAAAACAATCTTGTTTTTATCCAGGATCAGCCTGACTAGAGAGTGGACTTTGGATTTCTTAGCAAGCTCAGATGGGGCCCGACAGCTGGGACCAGTAGATACGGACAGGGGGACAAAAAGTTATTTCTAGTAGTGCCCGTATCTCACCTGAAGTTCTAGGAAGTTCGGGGCCCTGCCAAAGTCTCCCCAGCATGCTCCGGCCTCCTCCTTTCCACCTCCATCCCCCCCACTTTTTAAAAAGATTTTATCTCCACACCCAATGTGGGGCTCAGCCCCACAATTCTGTGATCAGAGTCTTATGCTCCATGGAGGCAGCCAGGTGCTCCTCCACCTCCATTCCTTCAAATAGTCCACAGATCATTGGGTGCCTGATTCTGGGAGCCCAAAAATGAATAGGCAAGGATCCTGCCTGCTCAGGAGGCTCAGGAAGAAGCCTGAACCCAAGGGACTCTGCCCGGGTTCCCATTAACTGTGCCTAGTGTCTGTTTCAAAAGACCCAGTGCTGGCTGACTGAGAGGACTTGAGGTCTTGCCACTGCTTCACTTTTCTGTTCCTATACTCCCCCATTTGAATTTAACCACACTGGCCTTTGAGCCCCTGGATCATACTCAGCCCCTTGAAGTCTCAGGGCCTTTGCACATAGTGTTTCCCCTGCTTGGAACTTGGGACTGACTTACCTAGAGTTTGCCCCCCTCCACCCCATTTGCTCTTATTTGTATTTCAAATCCTGGCTTAAATGTCACCTCTTCAGAGAAGCCTTCCCTGACACCCTTATCAATAATAAATCTCCCCTATTATTTCATTGCACCTCTATCCTCCTGTAGCACCCATCACATTTTGTATTTATGCACCTGTTAACCTTTTAAGTGTCTCTCCTCACTAACCTGTGTGCTCCACATCTAGGGTTCTTCCATTTGAAACCAGTTGCCTGGCTCGTAGCCTGGCTCATTGCCTGTTACATAGTAGCTGCATGATAAATATTTGTTGAATAAATAAATGAATCAGTGCAGATGTTGACAGTAGAACTAATAACAAATCAGAAAGGGCCTGTCTCCCAGCGGGGCATGGATAAGCACAGAAGAGCAAGTCCAAAGCTCTACTAAGAGGAATGTTTAATCAAACATCCAGGCCATGGAAACGACTGCCCTGGCCCAGGAAGGCACGCTCTAGGGTTGTTTTACTTTTCTTTTCTTTCCTTTTTTTTTTTTAAGATTTTATTTATTTATTTGACAGAGAGAGAGAGATCACAAGTACACAGAGAGGCAGGCAGAGAAAGGGGGGAAGCAGGCTCCCCACTGAGCAAAGAGCCCGACGTGGGGCTCGATCCCGGGACCCTGAGATCATGACCCGAGCCGAAAACAGAGGCTCCAAGCCACTGAGCCACCCAGGTGCCCCTCTAGGGTTGTTTTTCAATAACATCAGGGTCTATCCTACTTTCCTTGCCTCCCCCTCAAGCAGGGAGGCCAGTAATTTGAATTCAGTGTTGGTATATGTTCATGTGTATACACATAACTGTTATGTGATTTAATAAAGATAAGGGAAGAAAGATCACACAGGGAGGGGGGTGTCTTTAGGCCCACCTAGTGGCAAGAGACATGAAAGCTAGCACATTGGAATGTTTCTGCTTTGGGGTGGCAAGGGAGTATGGCAGGAGTATGGATTGGTACAAGTTTCAGCTTTATTACCGATTATCTCTTGTGCAGCCTAAGTGGGGTACTTCACCTCTTCCAGCTTCACGTGTGTGTGTGTGTGTGTGTGTGTGTGTGTGAATTTGGAATGAAAATAAAAGCTACATCAGAAAATTAGATTGTCTCGACATGATGTCTGGCACATAGTAGGTGCTCAGTAAATGGGGATCTTGATTATGAAGTAGAGATTTAATCAGGCTCTTCCAAGACCTGGACTCTACTCATAAGCACATAAATCTTTCACCTCTTTTATTAATTTTGGCTTCCCAGGTTCCCTGAAAATAGGTTGTATACCAGATTCTGGCCTCCAGAGAGGTGCAGGACTCATTTTAATGTGGAATGTGGTGCATTTATCATTTGAGACCCTTCGGCACCTGCTGCCCTCCCCAGCTGCTTTCCTGCTACAGCAGGCTTGCCTTGGGAAACCATTTCTTTCTCAACTGAAGAGCAGGTGAAAATAATCTCCACTGGGTCTGCTTACAGAATTTTATGTGAATCAAAAGCCAGGAAAGTACATTGCAACTTGCAGGCCTTTAATCCTAACCAATTTTTTAAACTTGCCTTCAGCACCTCACATGCAGCCGTCCCTTCTTTGTGCCTCAGTTTCTCTATACGTAAAATGGGGAGAGGTCTGTGGGGCTGTATAATTATGTCTTCAAAGTAATTGTTCTGGATGTAGAGCTAAAGAGAAGCCTTGAGTTCTGGAAAAGGCCAAAAGAAGCGCTTAGCTTCTCCTGTGAACCCCAACTCCTGGTGGGCTTGGGTTCCCTCCCAGCTATTGCCAGGTGGCAGGTAAAGGTGTGCCCTCTTCTGGACGGGGCAGGAGATCAACCCTGGGAAGTGGGGAGAACCACGGTGGCTCAGGGAGATATTTAAGATAGGGAGTAAATGGAAGGCGCTGGGTTCCTATAAGAATCTATATGTGAACAGATTATTAGGAGACTAAAGAGTAAGGATGTTAATACCGTGCTTGGAATGCAGAGGGAAAGTCCGTTTGCGGTGTGGGTGATGGTTCCTCCCCCCTGGATTCAGGTCCATTTGGTTTGTCCCGGAGTCCCGGTCAGCATCTTCACGGGGCCGCAGCGAAGGGCATCCTGGGACATGTAGTTCTCTGGCGGGCTTCCTGCGGTGCAGTCCGTCGCCCTCAATAGCGAGGGGACTCCATTTCCCGAGGTGCCTCGTGCCCGGTGCGGGGGAGTGGGGGAGAGGGCCGCCGTGGCGTCGCGGCCCCGGCCGAGCTGGGGGTTGGGGCTTGGAGGCCGAGGTACCCGCGGCGGTGGGCGAGTGTCCGTGTGGCCTGGTCCGGGCTATGTCCGCGTGAGGACGCCGCTGACGCCCGCGTCCAGGCCCCGGCCCGGCCCGGCTCGCCGCTCACCATGGGCTCTATTCTGAGCCGCCGCATCGCGGGCGTGGAGGACATCGACATCCAGGCGAACTCGGCCTATCGCTACCCGCCGAAGTCTGGTGAGCGGCCGGCGCGGCCCCGGGCGCGCGGCAGGGCGAGGCCTGGGGCGGAACGCGGAGTGGGCAGGGCGCGCCCGCGCGGTGCGCCCCGCAGACGTGCAGTGGGTTCTACTGGGCTGTGGGTTCTACTGGGCCGTCCCTGCGCCTCACCGCCCGGGGCTCCGCGCGACCTCCACTCTGACCGTGGGTGGGGCCCTGGGCTGCCGCGTCCCGGCCCCTCCGGCGGGGTGACCTTGGGTCAGTCGCTTCGCCCCTGAGCTCCTCAGCTCCCTGGTCTGCACACAGGGGAGACTGAGTGGGAAACCCCTAGGGCGGGGGTGAGGTTCCTGGTGCGACGCTGGCGAGGGGTTAGCACGGTGCCCGGCGCTTCGCTTGTGCTTACAAAGTGCTCATTGTCAAAGGGATTGACATCACGCCATCGCCAGTTTTGGCTTTCTTTGGTGGCTTCGTGTGACGACCCGGCCAGCGGTTCTGAACACTCGCCACGCCATCTGGACAGAAGCTTCGCTCTCTTCTGACCACTTGGTGCCTGTGAATATGGTGGGTGGGTAGGGGGAGTGGCGCTCGGCCCAAGGAGATTAGATCAGTGGGGGAGAGGCTGCGAGTCCTTGTTGGAGAACAGGAGACTGGTTAGAGAGGAACCTGCCTGGTTCTCTGGCCTTTTTTTTTTTTTTTTTGGTGGCAGGGAGACCTGAGACACCAGCGAGGAAGACTTGCCCAAGGTCTCAGAGAGCTGGTTGGAAGCGTCTCTGGGAGCAGAACCACAAATTGGACTCCCAGTCGACTTGTTCCCACTCTGCTTTGCTGCCTGTAAAGAGTGTGGCCTGACCCAGAACTTTAGCTTGGGTTCCTCCCTTTCCATCTTCTCATGGGGGTCATTTGCCATGGAAAGAAAAGAAGGAAAAGGACAGATAATTTGGACATGAGGGAGACTTTGAAGCTGGGTCTCCTGATCCTGGCTTCTGAAGAATCTGTTCTGATCTGGGGGTCTCCTAACCTCACAGTTGGCCTTGGGACACCCACCAGGCCAGGTTTCCTTCAAATGTAGTCCAGGACCACCCACTGCCACTAGTGGGGAAGCTTGTTCAACGTGCATCTCGCAGGCTCTGCCTCCGACCTGCTGGGGCCTAGGAACTGGCATTGAAACCCTTTCTCAAGTGAGTCTGATGTCCACTGAAATTTGAGAACCGCTCTGCCCTGATTTTGGAAGCCCAACAGGGGGTGTGTCTGGGAAAATAGAGGGGTGGAGATAGCACAGTTTTTGGAACACTCAGAAGTGGGTAGAAGGACTTATTGCCTGCTTATGTCCCAGGCAGAAGTACGGGGCAGCTCAGCCGGGTAGGGGGATCCCCTGGAGGCCGGTGGGTTGACGTCCCCACATCTGATTGAAGCGGTTGTTTGAATTCATCGTCTTCCATCTCTGATGTTCTTCCATCCTCTTAGGCTGAGTGACATTCGGGAAGCTGCTCTGCGCTCTGGGTCACAGTTTCCTTATCTCTACAGTGGGTTGATGCTTGTACACTGGTCAGAATAGTGCACATTAAGTCCTCAAAATACCGATTGCTGTAATGGCCTAAAAAGAATATTAGGTGGCCAGTGCAGGCCGTAATAGCACCTACCTGTGGCATGGCAGAGATATCTAAGTTTAATTTGGCATTTCCTATAGAACCTGGGACTAGGACACACTTTGCCTGGGTGTTTGGACAAATACAAGGCCTTTATAATACCACTTTCAGATTCTGTGTGGTAGACCTTGCTAATCATTCGGGACACTCTTTGACACGAAGTCTGGACTTGTTTCAGAATCCATTAACAAACACCCCGGTCAGCCACAACTAATCGATTGGGTCTGGCACCCACGGTGAATGTCGTAGGCTACCTTAGAGCACCACAGCTGTGCTCTCCTGGACCTGTCCAGTCCAGAAGCTGTCCTCTCGGCTTCCTTGTGCCTCGGGCCACCTTGCTCAGGGAGGTTCGGTCTGAGAAATGTTCTTAGCAGTACTTTCATATGTTTCTCCAAGGGTGGACTGGGGAGCCCCGGGGGGATTCAGATGATTTTGGGGGGATGGCCCCATGGAGCCTTCAGGCACCTGATGAGAAAGTATCTTTTCAGGTCTCTGTTAATTTTGTTGATAATATCAAACAGAGAAAAATGATTAGATGCTAATTTTTAAAAACACATCTATAATTTTGTCCAGTCCATTCCAGCTTTTTTGAGATATCATGCATTTTATTTGCCAGTCAACAGTTGGGTTGTTTCCACTTTTTGGCTATAATGAATAATGCTGCTATGAACATTGAATGTTTGTGTGGCCCTTTTCAATTCTCTTTAGTATACACCTAGGAAAGGAATTGCTGGGTGTTAGGGGAATTCCTGGGTGTTAGGGCGACTCTATGTTTGACCTTTTGATGAACTGCCAGACTGTTTGCCCAGCTCTTTCATCTTACAGTCTCATCAGCAATGTGTGAGGATTCCAGTGCTCCACATCCTTGCCAACACTTATTATTGTCTACTTTTTCTTTCTTTTTTTTTTTTTTTTAATAGGCTCTACGCCCAACATGGGGCTTGAACTCAAGGTCCTGAGATTAGAAGCCCTATGTTCTACCTACCTAGTCAGCCAGGCACCCCTGTTGTCTACCTTTTTCACTATAATCATCCTTGTGGATGTGAAGTGGTATCCCATTGTGGTTTTGATTTGCATTTCCTTGATGACTGATGATGTGGAACATCTTTTCACGTGCTTATCAGCCATTTGTATTCTGTGTGTGTGTGTGTGAGAGAGAGAGACAGACAGACAGAGAGAGCCAGAGCGTGCATGGCATGGGCACAGGTGCCAGATGATTATTTTTGTCTTTTTTTTTTTTTTTTAAGATTTTGTTTGTTTATTTGACAGACAGAGATCACAAGTAGGCAGAGAGGCAGGCAGAGAGAGAGGAGGAAGCAGGCTCCCTGCTGAACGGAGAGCCCGTTGTGGGGCTCTATCCCAGGACCCTGGGATCATGACCTGAGCTGAAGGCAGAGGCTTTAACCCACTGAGCCACCCAGGCGCCCCTGTTTTTGTCTGTTGTTCATTTTTTTAAAGATTGGATTGTTTGTCTTCTTACTCAGTTGTAACATTTCCTTATTCTGGGTACAATGATACAATTCCTTTATCAGCTCTGTGACTTGCTAGCTTGTCTTCATTTTTCTTAATGGTGTCTTCTGAGGGTCACAGGTTTTAAGTTTTGGTTAAGTTCAGTTTGTCAGTCTTTTTAGTGGTTGATGTCTTTGGGGTTATATCTAGGAGATCTTTGCTTAGGCCAAGGTCACAAAGATTTTCTGTGTTTTTTTCCTCGGAAATTTTAGTTTCAGCTCATGCGTTTGGGTCTGTGATCCATTTTGTTCCGGTATTTGTATGTACTGCCAAAGCAAGCACTGGGATCCGTCTTGAGGTAAGGCTTTCACGTGTAGTTTCAGGTAAAACTATGTGTTCTTACTTTGCATGTGGATATTTAGTTATTTCATTATCATCTGTTGAAAAGACTATTGTCCCATCCAGCTGCCTCTGCACTTTTGTAAAATATGAGTTCACCATAAATATGAGGGTTTAATTCTGTACAGCGTGGCCCTGATCACACAGCTGGCCCATCTTCAGCTGAGGGTCAGAGCGGGAGTGAGGACACCGTGGCTCAGCCGTAAAGAGAAGGTGCAGACCTGCAGGAGGGGCCCGGAGTGTAGCACGTGCCCCCACGGAGGGCCTGGCTGTGGGCAGCTGCTGCCACAGCCTCACCTCCTGCTGGGGTTGTTCCTGTTAATCGTGTGTCTCCGAGCGATGCTGCCTGCCCTGCCCTTGTGTTGGAGGGAGGTCGTGCCGGGACCAGGTCACCCAGGAGAAGTGTCAGAAGGGGAGGCGGTCAGACATGTGGCCTACCAGCCCAGGCAGTGGAGGGAGAGAAGGCGAGATATGCCCCAGTCCTAAACCCTGTGTGTGTGTGTGTGTGTGTGTGTGTACTTTGAGAGTGTTCTCACCTCCTCCTTCTTACTGGAGCCTTGCCTTATTCTTGTGACACCAAACTTTCGTCCTGTGGTGGAGGAACTAGAAATCAGACTGAGCCTTTTGTCATGTGGCATCTGAGCCTGGGGTGTACGGTAGGCGAGTAACAAGTACTTGTGCAACAGGCCCCGAAGGAGACCAGCCCCATCTCCCTCATGTACGGGCTGCTCAGGCTGGGCTGCATCTGACCCCTTCGGGTGGGGGGTAGGGGTCCGGGGACTCCTGGGTCTCCTGCCATGTGATGGAGGGGCCCAAGGTGAGAGCCAGACTTCTGGTGTGTGTTTTCGTGTTGCTGGCTGTCTAGGAACGTCTCGTGAGCACTTGTGTTGGGTATACCCTTTCGGACTCATTTCTTTGGTATCTAAAGGAAAGAGCCGAGGCCGGTGTTCAGATGAGAGAGGACATTCTCTGTCATTGGGGGCATTCTGGGTCTCCCGGCCATCCCTGTTCCAAGGGAGTGAGCTTGTGCTGAGCCCCATGGGTTGGTGGCAGTAGGGTGGGGGGTGGAGAGAAGGGGGCTCCTCCTGCTCACAGGCGGCTCACCTTCCTGCTCGGGGACCTGCACTGTCCCCTCCAGTGTGGGGCAGCTCAGCTGGACTCCTGTCCTGTCTCCGTCCTGTGCTGTTCACCGATGAGACCTAGTTCTGTGCTTCTGTTCTCGTCAGCTTGGTTTGGGTTTCATCGTTGGACTTGCTGCATAAATAAACTGTGTTTTCGGAGCTCCAGTTGTTACACTTCGGGTAAAAGCAAAAGCAACAAGAAGCGTAGTAAGTGGGCTGCGCTGGGTGGGCACCTGAGCACCCGTTCCCTGAAGCCGCAGCCCGGAGTTGCTGGGGTTCAGGAGCTTGCTTTGGCGCCCGGGCCCTGGGGCCGCGGGGAGCTGAGGTCCCACGGGTCCCTGTCGGAGTGTTGCCTGCGCTCGGGTTTCTGAGGGGCCGGGGGCTCGATGTGCTTGTTTCTGAGGTC